AAGAGCTGGAGCTTGACGTACTGGCTTACGTCACTAAAGGCCAAGGCTGGATGTGTTTATTGATGAAGAAATCCTGTCAATAAAGAGGTGCTGGCAGAGAAACAAAGAAAGAAAGAGAAACCAAAGCAACCGGAGCTAAGACGAAACAAAGTTTAGTTACTCCTATTAATATCATGCTCACTAATGCCGTGTATATGTACAGAAAAAAAAAACAAACTAGTTTGCTTATCTCTCTAATTGGTTGCTTATGTGGAAGTTTGGTGTTTGAAATGTTCTTGGCAACAGCAGAGTTTTGACTTCATTAAAATGTGCCACCTCTTCCTGTCCTCCTCTGCAGTATCTGAATGAGAAGCTGCACAGAAGCAAAAGTGTGTGTGTGTTTTTTTTTTCAGCACGAGTGAGTCGATATGTGTGGATGTTATTATAGCACGAGACACATTTTTTAATTATATTATTATTATTCCATCCTAACCCAATCTCCTGTGCGACACATTTACAGGATGTCAGCCACCCCCCCCCCCACCACCATTGAGTCCACTAAGATTGGAGGGAATGTAGAACTTTTTAAACAAGTGTTTCTATTTCTGTCTACCCCCCCCGCACTTCATCCTCTCATCCCTCCATCAGTCTCAGTCATGGAACCATTTACACCACTCCCTCCTTGTTTTTCACCTCCTCCTCCATCACTCCCACCACTTCATCCTCTCTCCTCTCTCCTCCTTCTTTTTCCTTCTCCTGCTTTTTCATCTCCCTCCATCACTATCTGTTTGTGGTGCAACAACGACTCAATCCAAAACACTGTGACTCCCCCCCCCTCCTCCTCCTCCTCCSTAACTGATGCTATAAATACCCAGCACCGGTGAGTCATCGCCCTCGACGTATCAGTTGCCTATCCCTTGGTGCCTCGCCAACCTCACAGCTGCCCCCCTCCCATCCCCTCCCACCCATCCCTCTATCTCCTTATTTTGCTTCTCTGCCCAGGTTCATTACAAGACCTCACATGTATTTTTTAACCATAATTTGGCCTTTTCATCAGGATAAACACATACTGAGCAAAACTGAATCCTGTGCCTAGTTTACTGAGCTAAAGATCAAATATTAAGCTGCACCCCCCCCCC